CAGTACGGTTAATTGTTCATTAATATCTCTTAACCCTTACTTTTACAGACATTTGAATGCTCTGTTTGAACAAACACCTGTTTGTTGCTCTTTCATCCAGTCTCAGGTGAGCGTTTGGGGTAGTTATTTGAAAAATCAGTATAGATTGAGAGAATACCTGACACTGAAAACAACACGGTCTTGGTTTCTCCTCTTAAGCTTTTTTATCAGGTACATTCAAACAGCACATTAGGCAAAAAGAAAGCTGCCTAAAGGGCTACAGAAACTGCAAAAAGGACCTTAGCAATGAGTGCCCTTAGCACAGCCAGGGACAGATGGGCTGTGCTGCCTGGTCCTTAGCCCTCCTCCTGTTTGATAGGAGCTGGCTCTGCCTCCACATATTCACATTCCCCAGACCCACGACCAGAGAGGACATTTCAATCAACCCCGTGTGGCAGGTGCCGTACCTGCGGCAAGGGGCAGCTCTCCTGCAGGCAGGACAGCAGACAATACTGGTATTCTAGTATTTCCCTCAATTTTGATTATTTTTTTAAGTGTCTTCAAATCATATATATATGTCAGTCCAGCAATAAAAACGTAGCTGTAGATGGCTACTTCTGCCTGAACCTGAAGCTGTCTCCAAGGCCAAGGTGGCTGTGACACGCCAGCCAGAGCGTGGCATGAGTTGACGTGTTACATGCCTATCACTTCCCTGCGACTAACGCTGTGTGTCACTAGCTACTGCAACTGTCTCCCACACTTCTAAAAGCAATTTCCACTCTATTAAGTTCTACCCTTTATGGTGTCCAGGAAGCTAGAAACAGGCTTAATTTTACTGTAGCAATCGCCATCAATCTACCCTTGGGTGGGCTATTAAATTAAGGCTATTGAATCAGATTCTGCTGGCAGATACTCAATGCCAAACCTGGACTAATCCCAAATTTACAGCTGAAGTTGATGTTAGTTAGGAACTAAAACTTGGTCCTCTCAAGCTTTAGCTCCGTACACTGCAGGCTGTATTAAAGATCCCAAGTTTTCTGGAAGCAGCCAGGGCTGGCTGCATAGGACAGATGTCCTATAGGACAACTTCTCAAGAGGGTAGTTCAATACGATCACTGTGCTCTGAAATTTCCTGCACAGTGAACTGAGGAGCTTCTGTATGAGAAGGCACGGCAACTAAAACTATAGTAGCTCTGTATTTTTCTCCATAATTCTGCTCAATGGGTTTACTATAGAAGAGTACTACATTTTCTACCCAGAGCTCCCAATTTCTTATGGGAAGGAACCTGTTTACTTTGTATACCTGGGAGTCCAAAGAAGAGTGTTTGGGTAGCAGGGGTATCAGGAGAGATCCCGGCAGCTCATGCTGATTTTCCTGCATTTGGACATTTTCGGGCTGTTCCAGTCCTGGTTGCCAGGTGAAGGGTACTAAATACCAGGGGCAGGGCTCCCCAAGAGTCAGTTGTGTTACAGAGCTTCCCACGTGCTGCAGACATTTGGGGAAGCCCAGTGCAGTGGCTGACACCATTTCTGTGAGTCTGAAGATGGGCTCACTGGGAATGCCTTGCATTCATTAATTTAATTGTACAGAATCAGCCAAAGTGTCCACAAAGTGCTTGGGAAGACCTGGATGTGGGGAAGTCGCTGGTGGGTTTTGGGTGGGTGCAGCCTGTGCCCACCTCACCCAGAGCGCAAGAATAAGACCTGCACCAAGCACGGTGCAGTTTCTCCCTTGAAAAGACTTCAGGGCTTGTCCTAACTTTGGACTGGAGAACGCCATGTGTCTAAGAGTGGGGTGCCCCGACTCAGTCAGAGCCTTTGGGTGGTGGTGTTTCCTCTCTGCAAGGGACTGCATTAATATTCCCCTCCCACCCACACGCCTTCCAGTCTTTTAAGTCCTTTTTTTTTTTTAGATTAACTTGTAATAAAGGAAAACCAGCTCTACTGGGTCGTGCAGAGTATTAAGAAAAATTGAAAACACACACCCCCTAGCTCACTCCATCCTTTCAGGGGCAGAGCCTTCCCGCCAGCCCTGATTTCAAAGCCAGTGGTTTATGGCAGCTTCTTGGTCTGCGAGAGGTGCCTCCCCCGGGGCCCCAGAAAGCCTCTTGCTTTCCACCATCAGGGCTGCAGCTCTGTAAGCCCCCCTGCTCCTCTCCTGTCCTGCCATGCCCTGCAGGCTGCCGGCCTGCCCTGGCCCTCCATCGCTGCTCACACCTCCCCTCGCTCCGGCAGCGTTCCCACGCCACAGGCAAGGCAAACAGGCAGGAATCCATCCTTCCCACCAGCAGCCTTTTAAGAACGTTTAACTTACAGCAAAAAACCTAACAAATACAGTCTCTAGTGCAGCAAACCACATGGAGCCTGGCTTGAGATCAGACCGGGCTGGAGCGGCACCAAGGTTGTCTCAAAGCTCTTTCCACACTGACATACGTAGGTAGACCCCTGTGCTCAAAGGTATAACTCACTGGAGAAATTAGCCCATAAAACTATTTCTGATAAAGGAGGCTTATTTTTTATTTAATGTCACGTTAAATAAATGGCAAAGCGCAGCAGTGAGGATTTAGTACTTGCGGTGCTAACCATATTACTTAGCATTTATACAGTGCTTTTCTCATTCAGGAAAGCGCTTTTGCTAACTTAATTCATCCTCAGCCACCCTCTGCGTGTCATGAGGGAAGTCAGGAACATTTAATATCCCCGCTGATAGATAAAGCATGTGGCTGGGACTGGCACAGCTTTGGTACTTTTCCTCTTGTCCCACCCTCAGCATCCCACCGGAGTCGATTTTTGATGGCTGCAGCCCACACTTGTGTCCTGGAAGTCCTCAGCAGTGCAAGGGCCAGGATCCTGGCCCTTTGGTGAAAGCCAGCTATGGTCCTGGCCGGGCAGCCAGCGGGAGCAGAGCTGAGGCTGGTGGTGAGCAAGGAAGAGGCCTCAGCAGATGAGAAGGAATGAGAACGCAGATGAGAAGGAATGAGAGGCTGAGAGCTGGGATGCAGAGGGGACGATTGGGGTAAAGGGATGCTTGGGCTAAGGAGGTCATTTGGATGGGCTGTTGGCCTCAGGCAGGAGAGAATTTGGGACACGGGCTGGTCGAAGGATTCTGGTACAGCAAGGTTTAGAGATTGCTTTGAATTATCTTACTTGATGGGGCTATGTAAGGCAGGACATGGTAATAGGGTTGGGGAAGAGGACAGTAGGCCTGGCACGGGGCTGGGACACAGGGGTTCAGCATAGGTGCCCCTGGAGGTGAGCAACTTGGGGTGTGAAGGGTAGTACTGGGAAAGGGCTTCAGCCTGGGGGAGGCAGTGGGGGTTGATTCCCATGTCAGGAGACCTGCAGAGCGGGCAGTGTTCCTGGGGAGCAGCTGCCCATCTCCACACACCTGACGGCCCCTACCCACCACCACTGCTCCCTGATCCCACCAGCGGACACGTACCCCTTTGCCAGGGGCCAGGAGCAAAAAAAGGTGCCAGGACAGAGCACAGAGCCCACCCCACAGCTCTGTGCCCCTCCAGTCGCTGCTCAGGTGGGGTGGATGCCACAGCCCCATCGCTTGCCCACGTCCCAGGAAAAACGTCCCGAGGACCTGCATGGGGGTCTTGGGCACGAGGTGCCTGGGGACGGGTCATGGCTCGTGCTGCTGCATTTCCTCTGGGCTCGGGGCTGCTCACCACAAAAGGGAACAAATACGGACATCTACTCTAGCCCTTTAATCCTTTGGGATCCTACTTTTAACATATGTAAATACATTGGCGTGCCAGTTCTCCCCTCCCCTTTGAGCTGGCATAACTCCTAGTTTCACAGGATTTCTCTGCTAGAGACCAGACCCATATATTGCAGTCCTTATGTGAGCCAAACTAATGCTCACGTAGATGGCACTTGCTTTTGGAAAGGATACTAGCTACACAACGGTGTTGATTAATATTCTGATTAATGAATAAGATACTGATTAGTGCCTACTGTAAATTAACATTTACAAAACCATAGAGTTATTGTAGGGGTGGGAGGTGCTTTTTTTAAAAAAAAATAACCTAGCAATATGTTCATTCAGATAGGTATTTTCACCATAAATCAGTTGAAGATTATACTATTTTTATTGAACCTTTCTCTACACTTACTTTCAAAGAGTTAGTTTCTTATTTAGAAGTATTCAATTTAACTCCCCTATAAACTTCTCTTGCTTTAATAGTGAATCAAAAATACTATGATTTAACTTAGAGTTTTAAAAATTGCTTTATTATAAATCCTTCCTGAATGATGACTGCATCTATAAATTATTATGCTGTAATTAAAAGCTGGAACAAATATTTTTTTAGCTTGCCCCTTGAAATACATTGATTGTGTTCGACACCTCTGCCCCAAAAAGAGCTTCATGTCCCATTGAAAATTATATTTTTTTTTTCTGGGAAGAGGAACGAATACCTATCCAAAAGGTTGACCGCAAATTACATTTTACAGAAACAAAATCATTCATTGACTTCAATATTCTGCACACAGCGTATGCTCACACTTTCAGTATCTCTAGGCTGAAGCTGCTTGCAACATTTTGCTGTAAACCTAAATCTAATACGAGTGAGAGGCTGCTTTAATTTTTTAAGGAGGGGTTCTCCTAGCTGCAAAGGCATTGAAGACAGCCTGGAAGACACGGTCTGTGCGATGCTGCTCTTTATTGTCACAGGTACAGGGTTCTGGTGTGGCAATGCTGCACAATCAGGTCATGGAACATTTACCGGTCAGGAAAGACTTTTCAGTCTCTGAAATGGTTACAAATGTTTTTTGTCAGAACGCGCTCATTATAAGCAGTCTGATCTCAATGGAGTCCTACTATTTTATTTTGGGTAATAACGGCAAAGTCTTACCACCTGTTGATGGACATGCCATGGGGTTAATTTATATTCGCGTTGGACAAGCAAAGCAGTGCTCCCTCCCAGCGCTGACAGATCCCGCGAGTCTTTTCAGAAGTTGATTGCTGGGTTGTCCTGATCGATAGCTTAGCGCTGACAGCAGCTCACAGTTTATTTGCAGCTTTGAAGCCTGGTCCTATAGTGTTTCTCTTCTGACAGGAGATGAATAAAGGTGTCACTGTGAGAGACTTTTAGCCGGCTGCTATAGAAAGGACCCTCCTTGCCTTCCCTCGCAAGATCCTCTAGTTCACTTTTGGAGCTTGCAGCTTTCCCCTCTGCTGAATTTAGCTCCATCAGCTCCAATTCGTGCTTGGCAGCTGTTTCTAAAACTCTCTGTTTGTTATAATACCTGACAAAGTTGTTAATGATGGGATGGATGGGAAGGGCGATCGCTATCACCCCGCAAAGAAAACTGATGGCAGCATTCAGTTTTCCTAGTGTTGTTTTAGGGTATATGTCTCCATATCCAACCGTGGTCATGGTAATGATTGCCCACCAAAATGACTGAGGGATGCTTTTAAATAAAGTTTCGGGGTGACTTTGCTCCATGGTATAACCCAGGGCAGAAAAGACAAAGATTCCGACAGCTAAGTACATGAGGAGCAGCCCGAGCTCCTTAAAGCTGCGTTTCAGGGCATATGTTAGGGTCTGGAGCCCTGAGGAGTGCCGTGCAAGCTTGAAAATCCTCGCGATCCTCATGATGCGCAGCGCCTGGACAGCCTGCTGGACGTTGCTCAGCTCCATAAGCTTGGCTCCCAAGTGGGTCAAGGTCAGGCTGACATAGAAAGGAAGTATTGCTAGCACATCGACGATGTTCATGAAAGACAGGGCAAAGTGGAGTTTGTTGGGAGAGGCGATCAGCCTCAGGACATACTCCATGGTAAACCAGCCTATACAGGCTGTCTCTATGCTGTCCAGGGTGGGGTGCTCCATACGGTTCCCCTCCGCGTCTACGACCTGCAGGTCTGGGATGGTCCCCACACACATCACGACTGAGGAGATCAGAATAAACAGAAAGGACAGGACAGCGATCACTCGCGCTGGGTAGGATGATTCTGGCTTCTCCAGAAATTTCCAGATGTATTTTTGGCACCTTTTCCAGCGACTTTCCGAGGCGTCTACTCCCAAGTCATCCAGAATCAGTTGCACCCTTCGGGCTATTTCTTCCAGTTCCTCCTTTTTTTCACTTAGATGAGTTTTGCAGCAGTCATCCAAAAATTTCAGATCCACTTTCCAAAATTCCATTTCATTCTTGAAACATATGGGGCATATTCCTTTCTTCATGTGAATTTCCCCAAAGTAGTACACATCAATAATGCATTTGAAAGCATCTGGATCTCTGTCAAAGTAAAACTCCCTCTTTCCAGGATCATAGTCATCACAGAGGGAGAATATGCTATCATATCCCCCCGATAAACAGTTGATCAGCTCTGCCAGCCGTGTTTCTGGGTATTGATTCAGGTTATCTCCATGGAACACCTGCCTTACCCCACCAACATTGACTACAATCTCCGTTTCTTCATCTTTTTCTGATCCCTCAGCGTCCACATCTGGAAACCTAGAGTCACCTGCCATTTTAATTGTATTGGATTCTATTTGCTTTTTAGCCTGTTGTTCGGTTTCAGAGCTTCGTGGGTTTAATTTCTCATGAAAACAAATCAGCACCGAGTCAGCTCTAATACAAATGTTACCAAACTGACCCGGAGTCGTGGTGGGAAAGGTTACAGAAAGAAACCTGCAGTCAGGAAAGCCTCGTGAGGTATGCAACAAGCTGCGGGGAAAAGACAAGTCATCGGGCTGCTGTGCCTGCAAGCAGGATGTTAGAAAGCTCCAGCAGATTTGAAAGAGAAGAAACCATTTAATAAAACTCACCCCTCTGTTCAGTGCTTGAGAGTCTTTTCAGGTCCCATTCTCTCTCTACAAGTGATATTTATTCACAGGTTGGAAGTCACGGCAGAGAAATAAATCCCGTGCTCTGATTAATGCAACGTGGAGTGAGTGACAGTTCTCAGAGAGACAAGCAGCAGGGTGAGCCCACAGAAAACTGTTGCGGTTTCTCTCTTCGATTCCACAGATCTCCCTAGAAAGTTGCTTTGGAATTTTGTTTCTCTTTCCGTTTTCTTTTTACTTTAAGGTCTTCCAGAGTTTATCTGCTGACTCTTGCACAGAGTCAGTCGGTGCAAGCGTGCAGAGGAGAAACTTGTGCTTGTTTTCCCTTTGCTGTTTCCCAACACAATAGGGAGCCCAGGCTGCGAGGAGTCCTTTCCAAACTCTACCCTCTTCTGGTGAAACCCAGCAAAGCACCAGCTACAGAGAAAACACAGCTCAGCTATTTATAAGCCTGCCTGGCTGCAAAATAATGCGTTCCTATACCGCCACGCGTTTTAATGATTTTTAAAAGCATTTTTTTAATCAAATACAAATCGTGTATAAAGTCATTCAGGGCTGCAGAAAGATGCCCAAATATTTTCTTCCTCTGGCAGAAGCCAGAGAAAAAAAAATACTGTGTTTTTGAATAAATGCAGGACATGAATCTTGCTCTCAGTGGGACTGGAGCAAGTCTGGAGTAATTCTCTGTCAGGACACTGAGTTGCCGTAGATTCGTATTGGTGTCATTGAGAGCCAAGCAGAGACCATAAAGTTTTTGTTGCAGCTGTGGAGGAAAACTTTCCCTGCACTCTGTGCACATTTCCCAAAGCTCCGTGTCCTCAGTTTTAGCCGTGTTTTCTCGAGCTGCAGTCAACTGACCCTGATGAGTAATTGGGTTTGAGTAATTGGGTTTGAGTAATTTACGTCTGTGATGATTTCTTGGTGAATGCTACTTAGCAGCAGCGGTTCTCTGTGCTACATCCAGCACTTACCAAGTAGAATTGGAATAACAAGCATTTCCTTTTAACTTTTTTTTCTCCAAATTCCAGGATTTGATGGACATTTGTTCCCTGGACCCGTACATGCAGGAAGCCCTTTCACCGTGCTCTTCAATTCTTAAATGCTCTAGGAGAGCCTGCTTTAGCAGGGGGGTTGGACTAGATGATCTCCCGAGGTCCCTTCCAACCCTTGCAATTCTGTGATTCTGTGTAAATCTGACTACGCAGTTCATTTTGGTGGGTCCTGAGGGCTCTGTTCCAGCAAACCCCACAGTTAATAAATTAACTCTTTCTGGCCACAGCAGAATGTTCTACACCAGCAGGTTTTGATCTTTTCCAATTTACTGGCTTCTGAAAATCTTCTAAGTGGAGGGAAATAGAGAGGGGCAAATCCAACTGATAATTTGCTTCTCTAGGTTTGTGTCCATCCTGAAAGAAAGGTGAGAGCTGTGATGTGCCAGCAGCCCTTGTGCTTGTGTCACCCAGTGGGGAGGACTCTGGTGAGTACACTGTGCTCCATTCCACCCCCTTGCCAGAAACTTCTGGGGGATTAATACGAGGTTGTGCACCAGACCTCATCTTGACATGGAGTACTGACACAGCCTCACATGAATACCCCTTGGAGGTAGTTCATGATGCTTGGGGGTGCAGAAGCCATGAGTTAAAAATCACTGATCCAGCCCCTTCCCAGACCTTGCAATGACCTTCCTTGTCCCTGAGCTCTTGCATGATTGAGGAAAAAGGTGAATTCAGAATAGAGGAAGCCTTGCAAGAAAACTATGAAACAGAGGAACACAATCCTTTCTCTGTCTGTCACACACAGCCGTGCACAAATTTCTAATGCAAAAACTGAAGCTAGGGAAGTGGGTTCTTGCTGCTCTGCTACAGTCACCCAGTAAATGTAACACCCAGTGACCCAGTCTCACAGGGAGGAATAAGCCAATAACCATGGCTCCATAATCTTCTTCAAATGCCCAGGTTGTGCCACTCATATCCTTGCTGCGGAACAGTACGGAGGGCAAGGAACAAGAACTACAGGGGCTGGTGACCTTATTCACATGACAGTCCCAGGAAAATAGTGGTATATATTAGTCTACACCTGAGTCACACTGTTAATCTCTGGAGGCCAGTGTCACCTTCATGTGTCCCTGAGGGTACTGCATACTGTAATACAAGACATCTCTTGAATTTTTTTCCTGACACTTGCAAGCTTTATGGGACAAGAGAAATACCTTGGAGATCTGGAAAAAACCCTAGGTTTTGTGGGTTCATCAATATTTACTCACCTGGGACTTCCTTGCCCAAGCTAAACATGAATGGTTTAGCTTTATTTTAGCACAATAGATTTTAAGATGCCAATAGCAGTGACATGCTTGCACAGGGGAAAATGCAGATTACTGACTACCAGTTCTTGCAAAACAAACCCAGGATCTGGGAAAGTTTGGTTTAAAATGTTGTCAGGCTGCATCAGCGTAGGGAAACAGGTTCTTTAGGTTTAAATCCTCAGATTTAACCATCACAGACACCTACTCTCTTCGATCAATGATTCATTCCGGTGACCTTTTGGCTTTTTCTCCAGGTAATGATAAGAAATCAATGTATGGTCCAGCATAACCAACACAGAAAGCACCACTTTCATTTCCAAAAAGGCTCTTCTCCCCCCCTGTAATTTTACAGAACAAACACCTACAAAATAGGCACACAGGATTAGTACGTACATTGTTCAGTTTGAAAGGTGAAATCAGCTCCTCTCAAATGATAAATCTCAGCATATTCTCAAAAGGTTGGGAAGAAACTATTTTTGAAATGCCAGATCAGTCCTTATAAAGACTTTACTTAGTGCGGCTGCTAAAATCCTTGTGCTTTATTCTCCCTCGTCTTGCACCTTTTCAGCGTTCTTTACACCTTTCAGCATGCCTGTCAAATGTTAGAGATCTGTTAGCATTTTAAATCCAGTTTGACAAATTTAAATGATCCAAAGAAGGGTCAGGGAAAATCATAATGAATTAAAACCTTGGTTTTGTAGCTGAAAAGAGTGAGACAGGCTTACTTGACAAATGGTTTTTATCAGACATATCGCAGAGCAGCAAACAACAGGAGCGGATAATTTGCAGCAAATAAATTATTTCACTGATTTAATTAATTTTTCATCCGTGAAAAGAGAACTTCTCTAATCTAAAAATTTCAATAGATAATTGTTGCCCTGTAACTCATTTATGAGTAGTTCTCTGCAATTGTTAGGGCTTCTAAATTCAACTTCTGTTGATTTATCTGGACTGGGCAAACAGGTCAAGCTGTGCTCTGTGTCTGCTGGAAGCAATGTGTGCTGGCAATTGAATTCCTACAGACCAAATAAGAAACAGGGAGGTTTTTTTTTTTTTTCTGTGTGGGTGCTTTGGCTCAGAGAACAACATGTAGATTTGAACTGACAGATGTGTTAAGTCTGGCTATGGTTCAGCCTGACCTCAAGCCCTGATGCCCAAGGGAAGGAGTCCCGGGTTGTGGGGCACCCACCTGCCACAGGCAGCCCCAGCCCCAGCAGGGATGCCCGGGATCTCCTGGGGGGGCTCAGACCCCCCGAGCCTTGGTCCAAAAGGCATAGAAAGAGCTCGGATCTGGCTCCCCAGTGGCACTGGGACCTGCATGAGGGATGCAGGTGGCACAGAGCACCCGCAGCCCAGCGCCTGGGGACCTGCAGCAACAGCAATGCTCGGAGGATGCTGGAGCTGCAGGTCTGGCTCCCTCGTTTGCCACTTTTTGGGAAAGGATCTTCAGCACTGGGCAGCTTTATGCCAGTCTGGGAGGAGAGATTGCTCCTCTTGAGCTGTAGCCTGGCTCATACCATGCTCCTGAAGCCCAGCCAGCACCCTTCTGGGTGACGCACCGAGCTGCTCCCCCCGGAGCTATGGGCAGTTGTGGTGTATGAAGGGGCGTGAATGGGTTAGGAGCCAACCCTCGGGAGGTAAGATCAGACTGCACATGGAGATGGGTGTTTAAGGCAGAGGCAAGAGTCAGGCAGCCTCTCCGCAAGCAGACTGGGGTGTAGTCAGCCCCCTGAGGTGAGCACAGCCCCGCTTTCAGTGCCTGGGACCATGGCGGCACCCTTGGCCTCTCTCTCCTTCTGGACCCTACAAAGTGTTTAGTGCTGTGTCTACATGTGCAAGGTCAAGAAAGTTTAGGGACCTTACTAAGACTGTCCAAGCAAGAAACAGGTAGAGTATGTCTGGCACAGATCCATCCCCGCTGACCAGCTAACATGGACATTTGCTAGCCATCATGTGGCCATCAGACACCATTCCCAATAAGCAGTTTGCAGGCAGCCTCCTGTACTGGAGACTAAATGGACTTCCTAGACTCAATGGACACCAGTTGCCAGTTGGCTTCAGTTCCCAGAAACATCCTTGGGCACATGTGAAACTGGTCTAGGCCATACAGAGTTGTGCTGAGTCACCTACTGCCACTGGGTGCCTGGTTTTTAGGTGTCTATGTCAGACACTGTTGTGCGGCCCTCAGAGGTGGTTCCTACTCAGTATAACTCCCTCAGATACTTCTCCTTCTGCTATGTCATGTTTGATTTTTAAATGGCACGTACAAGACTGGAATTGTGATGGACCCAGCAAGAAATCTCAGCAACTTATTTTCAGCTAGATGCAGACTATGGAGAGCCACTCAAGCCAAGAACATGTGATGAAAATGTACTATAGAAAA